TCTGAGTAAAATTGTCCGCTGGTTTGTGCAAGGCCACCAGGAGAAACAACTAATGCCAACATGACTAGGAAAGGAAAAAATGAAAATCAAAAGAAAAATGCGAATCAAAAGAAAAATGCAAATCAAAAGGCATCCAAAATACTTGTCTGAGGTCACATGAAAGGAGTAGGAAGGGAAAGTCTGTGAGGAGGCAGGATATACAGCTTAGGGCTGTCAGACCAGACTATAGAACTTTCGCCAAAATACTTCCATGTTGCATGAAAACACAGGATACCGGATTTTTTCTTCCCATAGAGCAACCGGTGACTTAATCCAGCAAGTTCGTTTAAGAGTGACTTGCTAGAGGAATTGTCAACATTTCCTATGCCATTATAAAGTGCTGACATTCCCTATAGGCAGTTATCAACACCTACTGAAATATAAAGTTTTTGTTGCATGTTTTCACAAACCCAAGACTCCCCTCCTGTCATGTTGCCAACGCCTCCTCCAGTGTGACACCACCACACATTCCGCTTACAGCTTAAAACTGACAGTAAAACCCTGAGGTGGCTGTGCAAGGGTCTCACATCTGTGGTCACTGTGCTCGCAGACAGGCAGTACTTGCAAAACAAGTGTCTGGCCCTTAATGTCAGAATTTCCTCAGCTACGGCGCTGGACATTCCTGAAAATTGTGCTTTATCACAGAAAGCTTGGTTCCTTCGCTAATCTTAACTAGAGCGTTGCTAAGGCAATACTATCAGGAGTGTGCTCTTCTGAACTGATTTTGCAGTATGGGTTTCAGTATTTGCATACCAACGCCGCTGTCTAGGGATTCTTTCCTGCAGAAATGGTGAGCGAGGAAAAGGAATCCTTTTCTTTCGGCTTATTCGGGAAATTATGCTTAGCAGAGAGCATCTATTTCGCCAAAGCTCACTGAATGAAAAACACGAACAAATGAATGCAGCATGTTTAAGGGAGGCAACTGAAATTCACATCATGTTACACTTTAGAGAGAAGGCATTCCTTCTGCAATTATTTCTGAAGCATTGTATGACATTTGTTTTATTCACTGGGACGTAAGGAAATTACTGACTAAACAGTTTTCACTGTTGGAACTCTCTTGTGCTTGTCACTGTTTAGGCTATTTTTAATCTGTTCTAAACAGACAAAAGTGGTTTTCTAAACCCTGACTGTAAAAAATTTTGTGTTCAAGGTATTGGTTCTGGATTTACTGTCATGTGACACCTACATGATTTTTTTGACGCCAAAAAGAAAGGATTATCTCAAGTCAGTACAAGCGCTTCAGAATGATAATTGCATATTAAAATGGTTTAGGGGTGTTTTTAATAGCAAGGAAACATTCATCAGTATGAATCTAATTCTAAAGCAAAAATAGTGCAAGCCATCTGCAACAATTATTGCAATTTATCAACACAGAAAATCCTCTGTACTTCCTTGTTCATCACTCCATAATTTGCATTTGTATTCTCTTTCAGTCAGATTTTTATAGCTTGCTGAGTGCCAGGGGCCCTGATGACTAATCTTTTTTTTTATTTTCCCTGTAGTGCTTGATATTTTATGCTACCTATTTCTAAATGGGATGAATTACTCTGTGGACACATTTTTCTCCTTCTGTTGACTACAATAGGACCTTAACTGACTAGCTGATTGAGATAAATCTCTTTAGTATCTTTGAGATTTCTCTTCTGCTAAATACAGCTGAAATTGCTTAGCAAATTAAGAATAATTAGAGGTCCTTCTATTAACTCTAACTGCATACTTCTAACTTTCTTGTGAACATAGGTTAAAAATACTTGCATATCCTATTTAATTTTCTAAATATGTGCCTCAAAACAAAGTCTACTATCTACTGTTGCCATACTCTAGAAATTGTATCATCTTCCTGGAAGAATCACTTTGCTGTCTTTACACTGAGCTTCATAAGCAACTGCAAGTTGAAAGCTGAATATCATGGTGTACTGTTGATTTAACACACACACACACAATTTTACATATACCCATTCTCAGCATTTTTACTTTGAGCAAATGTAGATTGATGACTGGCTGCAAAGCTCTTTGCTTTTCTACTCCCACTCACCACATCTGCTCTTTATTTTCATCTGTTGAAAAGCTAAATATTCCCCCCTACTCCCCTGAACAACTCTCAGAAACATAAAAAGGATTTTGATAAACCTATATGCTCAAAAATACCACAAAATGACCTCTGTATTTTTTTAGTGATGTTTCATCTCCTGAAATTTATAAGGAAAAAAAAGGAGCTCTATGGTCTCCAAGAGCATCTGTAAATATATACTGACTTTTCTGACAGCTTCAGTGAAAAGAACGCAGCAAAGCCCACAAAATATATCTGTCTTCCCCTCTTTCCATCTCCCAAAACAAGCAAAAAATGAAATATTCCGCTAAATCCCTAACCACTTCTTTCCCCCCTCTGGCTAGCAAACGGAAGAACATATTCATTCTAAGCCAGAGGGATGAAGGAAGGACTTAACCGCACACGAAAAACCTGTGATGTGGCACAGGAGCTCCAGACTTGCCTATGTGTCACTGAGTCACGGACTCTCCAAAGGGACTTCTAGACTCCTCCTGGCATTACGAATCTTTCAGCCGTGCTGTCAGACTTTCTTTTACAGGAAGAGGAATCAAAGCTCTCAGCAGCTCAGCTCACAGGTGAGGAGGCAAGGCAGGGTTTACCAGGGATTAGAAATGTACCACGTTGGTGCAGCCCAGCTGCTGGTAAAGGAGATGATCTCACTGGCAAGGACTCTTCGAGTGCTGGGCAAGGTGCAGGTGCATTGGTTAAGAGAGTACCAGCAACTGGATGGAAATAAACACTTTTGATACTGTTACTGTGGTTTACAGGCTGACAGGAATAACATTGTCTGAAGCAAACTCTACTGTATATTTTCTGGGTCAATGATCTGTCTCGAAGACTTTTCTCCCAACATAAAACCAGTTGGATTTTTAAATCAACTCCATGAAACAGGGAAGTGGGATGTGAAAGATTTTGTTCTCTTTTTAATTTGCTTTTCACAAAAAAAAATTAAAATCCTGCAAATCTAGAAAACATCGTCGTCTTCAGGACAGTACTGAAACTTGCAAGGATGATTATTGTCTGAAAGCCATGGATCAGATCAGAAAAAGCAGTTAATTATTCACACCCTGCATACAACAAATAATTATTTCCACTAATAGGGCATGCAGCCTCCTCTAGGCTCAGTAAATGCCCATTAATATTCAGAATCTGAAGCATCAAAAAGTCAGATGAAAACAAATCTTTAAGAATAAGCAACTAGAATAAAAGTCATCAGTCTTGCCTCATGACGTTCATTATTACTGCTTATTTTACAAAGCATTGTCATATCTTTATCCACCCTCCCTATTTCTAAAAGCAGATAGGATGCAGAAAAGGTGTTAAAAATTTCAGCAGACGACTAAGGAAAGAGCAGTCCTGAACCTAAAATTGTTTTCACTTCATTTATTACTTTAGAAAACTAAATGGCCAAAATATTTGCCCTTTTCTTTTTGCCATTTTCTCCTCAAGATTGCAGAAAAACATCTTACGCTTTGTTGAAAACCAGGTCACGAAATATGAGCATAATAAGGAATAAAATTTTAAAAAATGAAAACAAATACTTCCTTTAGTGTTGCAAAAATCTACTGTACAAAGAGGAATTTTCCTGAAAGTATATTATGAAATGTGTTACTGCAACTATTCATCTCCGTTATCACAGCTGATACAAAACTGGGAGTAGTGAGTGACACAGCAGAAGACTGTGTTGCCATTCACAGGGGCATCAGCAGGCTGGAGAAAGGGGCTGGAACGAATCAAGTGAGGTTCAGTTCAATAGGGAGAAATGCCTCTGGGGAGAAATAATGCCCTGCACCCATATACGCTTGGCAGAGAATGACCTTGGGGTCCTGGTGGAACAGAAGATGACCACAAGGTAGAAATGTGCTCTTGGTGCAAGGAACGCCAATGGCTTCCAAGAAGATGACCACAAGGCAGAAACGTGCTCTTGGTGCAAGGAACGCCAATGGCTTCCTGGGCTCTGTTAGGAAGAACGTTGGCAGCAGGTGAAGGGAGGAGATCCAGCCCTTTGAGGAGAAGGGCTGGATCACCTCCCTTCACCTGCTTGCACTGGCAAGACGCATCCAAAGTGCTGGGTCCAGTTCTGGACTGCCCGGTACAAGAAAGACATGGACTTCCTAGAGCGAGCCTAAGGCACAGGGCTAAGATGATGATTAAGGGACTGGAGTGTCTGATGAGGAGAGGCTGAGCGAGCTGGAACTGTTCAGCTTGGAGAAGAAAAGGTCCAGAGGGACCTTATCAATGTGTACAAATATGTGATGGGAGGGAATGAAGAAGAAGAGTCAGGCTCTTCTCAGCGCTGCCCAGTGACAGGACAAGAGGCAACGGACACAAACTCAAACATGTGAAATTCCATATGAACACAAGAAAACACTTTTTACTGTGAGAGCAGTTGAACTCTGGAATACATAGCTGAGAGAAGATGTGGAGTCTCCATCTGCAGAGATATTCAGTGACAGGACAGGAGAAAAAGGGCACAAATTGAAATACATGAAATTCTCACTCAACAACACAAAAAAGCTCTTTTTTACCGTGAGAGTGGTCAAACACTAAATGATTCCGTCATTTTGTGATCCTGGTTTAACATTTTTCTATTTATTCATAGAATCAGTCCAGCTACCTCATATTTCATATGCCTTACCGCAGGTCCAATCACACAATCTTCACTGAGTTAAAAATTTCGCTACAAATCTTCCCAATGTTCTGGTCTTACGTACTTCCTAATTAACAGTTTTCCATTATAAATTCATAAGCAACTGCATCTCTGAAACAATAAAAAAGTGAACAGGATTGATTGTTTTGGTTTCTAGACCAGGCTGCTGGTACTTTTTGTCATGAAAAAACCAAGATTATGCAAGTTCTTCAATTATACTGTGATTTGTTGTTAACCAACTAAATTCATAGTACTCACCACAGGCATTTGATCAAAGGTGCGAATAACAGACAATTTATCTACAAAAAAGTCCAAAATTTGACCGATTGGTATCATTTTGACATATACTCGTTAATTCTACCGAGAAACAGCTACAAATACCCATTTCTACCTGCTGGTTTTCCACGAATGAGCTCCACCTTGTATTGAAGAATATTAATTTGCCTTTCCAGCTGTTTGTTCAATTCTACTTGTGTCTCATATCTGGTTTTCCATTCACTACCTTAAAAAACAAATAAGAGGTTATTCTATTTCCCAGATTATTTCATGTCACTTCAAATAAACGTTGGCATTTTGTTGAACTATTTGTTGTTTTTTTTTCTGGAGACATTCCATTACTTTTCTAGAGCTGTCTACTGAGAAGTCTCCAGTTAATAATCCTCAAAACGAGGATCCTTGCATACAAAAGAGCTTGAAAATATAAATCAAGTGAATTTTTCACTGGGCTCACTGTGACCAGAATATTAACCAACTCTATGAATTCATGTTATTCATAGTTTCATTAACAAATAACATGACAGCATGCAGCATTCCTTCATCTCACGTTTGCAACATCACATCTCTAATAGTGATGTTTGAAAAGGGAAAACTTAAATTTCTAAATAAATATTTCTATCTCTATAGTGCCTAACCAAAAGAATTTTCTGTGTTTCCTAATCAATTAGCAAGACACTGTTGTAATTCACTTACCTTCATCTTCAACACTGCTGAGTCTTTCTTCTAGTTCTGTTACAGTCTTTCTCAGTTCAAATAACGAAATTTCAAGCATTTGCCTGTGGTGTTTAGAGGAGTCAATAAATTGGCTATAGGATAAATCCTACTATTAAAAAGAATAAATCAAACATATTTTCAGATGAAGTATCCATTGGTCTTCTCTATGGAATTACATCATCTTGCCCATAGCTTTTTAATGCATTTTTCTCTCTGGATACTATAGTGCCTTAAAAACAACCAAAGCACTTCTACTTTGTGAATTAAAATATCTCCAAAAACCACCAACGTCTCCTAAAATTTAATAACTGTCTAGCGGATCATCAAAATTAAACTTACCATCTAAAAGAAGATGACCAAGGAATGTGTTTTTCTCAAACACAAATCACAGAATCACAGAATGTTAGCGGTAGGACAGGTCCTTGAAAGATTATGTAGTCCAACGCCCCTTCCAGAGCAGAATCCTGAGTGATGTTCTATTTGAAATTCTGAATTAATTCTTTGTTTTGACTCACTGCGTAATGATTAATACTCATTTTCTAAATTGCACCCATAACAAAAACAATCAAAGCATATCATGTATTATGACTATGAGAAAAGAAAGACAGTGATTAAAGCAAAATGAGTGCTGCAAAAAATAGAAAAAAAACCCAGGAGCTAAAGCCACCATTTTTTTCTGTACCTTAATCTTGTGGGAAAATATATCTTTGCCCATGGGTTACTTCTGTATACAGGCAGACAGACAGTTGACAAGTCTTCTCCTTTTGCCTTGGGAGGTATGACCAGAGGCAGATGCTTGCAGAGGACTTTGGTGAGAGCACAACCCGCCTGCCTGCACCAGACAATGCGCTGAATGACTCCCATCCTTGTAAGTGGCACTTTAGTGTGCTACCACAAATCATATGATCTTGATCCTGCCAACAGGAAATTACTGCCAGCGAAATTATCAACCATATTTATGCCAACAGCCTGGCTCTTTATGGAGATGCCTATGGAAAAATGGTCCTGTCTGTGAGATCTCAAGAAGTCAGCCCACACTGGCACAGATACAAGCAAAACACAACGTGCCGCAATGCAAAAGCATTTTGTAGCTTTGTCCTTCAGAATTAAGTTTGGAAGGCTACGGTTTCAAAAAACAGTCAACGGTTCCAGAATGCCTCCATTTTTCATGCCCAAATGGAGATATTTCATAGAATGGCCTACGTTCGAAGGGACTTTAAGATAATTTAATCCAACCTTCTGCCATGGGCAGGGATGCCCTTAACTAGACCTGGTTGCTCAAGGCCTCATCCAACCTGGCCTTGAACATCTCCAGGGAGGGGCCATCCACAACCTCTCTGGGCAACCTGTTTCAGAGTCTTGCCACCCTTGTACTGAAAAATCACTTCCTAAGATCCAATCTAAACCTATTCTCCTTCAATTTAAATCCATTTCCCCTTTTCCTTCCGCTGTACACTCTTTTAAAGTCCTTCCCCAGCCTTCCTGTAGGTTCCCTTCAGGTATTGGAAGGCAGCTATAAGGTCCGCCCGGAGTCTTCTCTTTTCCAGACTGAAAAGAACTGAGAACACAACTCTGTGAATAAGGCCCTTTGGAAAATCTTTCCAACACCAATATGATAATAGATGTCTTTTAAATCTTAGCGTAGTTCATTAAAATACGCAAGAGAGAAAATGACCGTGCTGTCCTATTTTTTGGCGGTTATTTTTTCAAAGGGATCTTCCATGTCAACACGGATCTTCTCTTTCTGAACACACCCCAAACAAGAAATGCTCTTTAAGAAATAGTTCATTAGCCTCTGAGAAATCAGAGCTCTGACAACAGAACTGATTACTGAGAAACGGTGTCACCCCTCACATTCCTCACGCTCACATTCAGTTAGTGACATTTCTTTTCCATAGCTTGAAACATTAGATTTTGGCTGAAAGCTGCAGAAGCAGAAGCAAACCAATTGACTGTAAGAAACAGAAGAGCTATGCCTGGAATAAGAAGGGATGGAGAGCTGAAATAGTGAAGATTTGTAAATTTAATGTAATTTAAGGCAATGCAAGTTTTCAGTGAGCGCAAGAAACACACTGGAGCACAGTAAGACCAACACCTCAAATGCCACGGGAGAGCTGGGTCTTCCAATCCCTCCTTGTTCCACTGCTCTTTTTGTCCCTCCCAACATCACATTAGAGGGGTGTGAGAGGCAAAGAAATAATGCAAGTCACTGGTAACTTGCTGGAGACAAGAAGGGGGTGGTGAAAGCCTCAGCAAAAGATAAACTTGAAACACGTAAGTCAAAATGCTTAGATGCAGGTAAACCGAAGGAAATCTGAGTCGTGGTGCCTGTTTGCTCCCACTCCAAATGTAAGAGGCAGATGGCTCAGAAGAAGAAAGGCAAAATCTTACTACATTGCTGGCATCGTTCCAATGCAAATAGACAAGGTTTCTGTAAAGCTCATTTCTGTCAGCCTCCGAATGCTTAGAAAAGAGGAAGTGATGCCGATGGTGGGTGCTTAAAAAAGGATTTTTGGAAGGAGGGAACACTGAGAATTAGACACAGTCAAAGTCATAACTAGAGCTGAGCTGTATAAAAATGAAATTGTTTTCCTTTTCAAAGAAATCCTAATTAGGTGCTTGGATGCAAAGGGATAACACAAGAAGAATGAGTTCTTTAAATCAAATGTGGTGTTTTTTTAAAATTTCTGTTACCATTCCAAGGCTATATACAACATTTCTTACATTAGATTTTATTATTCTTTCTGCACCATCAGCAAAACTGCTAGCCAACTTCCAATTGCATTTTGTCCTGATGAAAATTATTTACAGAAATTATAAATTGTCAGATGTCAGACTGTAACTGCTACACTGACAGTAAGTCCCATTTTCATTTGGCAGATGAAACCGCTTTCTAAAAAAGTCCAATTATTCTTAAACATTTAATACTCCAATAGCACCCAGAAAGTAGCCAGGGTGGAACTTCTCTATTTTAATCTATTTTAATAAATGCAGTAAATTACAGTCCCTGCCCTGACAGACAAGGGATATAGAAATAAATACCTTTGACCAACCTGGTAAATACTACAGCTTTTTGATGTATTAGAGTATTTCTGGAGTTATTTTTAACTGTGACAGGAAGTGACAGTCATATCACATATCCATTAATGTGAATTTAATGCATCTATGAACAGCTGCCTGTGCAAGCAGAGCCTTGTTCAGGGACTGTGGTGTGACTTCACCTGCAACCTCACATGTGTTAAACATAATTAGACATATTCAAGGCTTATGAATCTTTACCGCATCAATGGACAATTTCTAGTCATCAGAGAAGAAAGCCCATAAATCCCAGAAGCTCACATTTAAGTCATCGGGGGAATTTAACTGCATCTTTGCATATTAAGCATAACTAGAAAGCTCTTGTGAAGGAGGAAAAGGAGGAAAATAGCACAGCTCCGACAAGAAGGCTGTGATTGAAATGACAAAAGGAATAAAATTGCCAAGTTTCTTTTCAAGACAGGGTACAGGTGTTATTTTACTTGAAAATGACAGCCACTTCATATGAAAGCCACTTTCCTGCACGTTTTGCTCACCAGATCTGGATTATGAGGTACACGTACCAGGCAAAAGGCTGCCTGAAGCCATTTTCTATAGCAGAGAGAGAAGCCAGTGAAACATTACAGGGGAAACTCAAGGCACATCACCAGTGCTGGGGCATCTGCTCTGTCACATGGCAGACCTTTACCGATACCTGTAGAAGATACATAGATGATAGGTAGGTAGGTAGGTAGGTAGGTAGATAGATAGATAGACAGACAGACAGATAGATAGATAGATAGATAGACAGACAGATAGATAGATAGATAGATAGATAGATAGATATGCCTTCAGAACCTGCGAATAAAAGAGAAACAACGCTGCACAGCACAGAAGGCACCACAGGGAAGCGCATGTACAGGACTGAAAGCCACAGACTTCTGACACTTGCAGTCTGCAGTGTGCTGGGAAAATGCTGCAGGTTTCCTTGCCAGGAAAGCCACAGAAGCTGAAATCTCAAAAGCTGAATCAACACACAACTCCATCAACGTTAGTAACTGACGTGTGTAACTACATGGCTTTAAGACCTCTTTGTCTGTTAGGGAGTATACTGCAGTATTACATGCCTTCTCTCTTCCAGAAACATTTGGCGTGACATTTCCCAATCAAAACCTGTACTGAATCTTGATTACTGTAATTCAGAGTCAGATCTAAGCTGACTTACTTTCATTAAAGCCTTTGAAAGATTTCACAGTACTACCTCCACAATCAGCAGATACTTTAAGTGCAGACCCTTTATAGACATGGATGATTCAATTCCCTCTCTGAAGCAAAAAAATCTCTTCATGAATGTTAAATGAGAGTGGTAGGCGGGCTTTTAACAAACAGCCTAAATGGCACAATAATCAAATAAGCCAGTAAAAAGACAGTGGGTGAGAAGGCTGTGAAGGAATGCAGACATCTCTGCAAGGCAGTCATCCTCAGCTTGCTTTAGACCCAACAGAGCGAAACAGGCACCTCCTCGGGTGTGAGTCATGTCATGCTAAACCAGCCAGCCGAAGTAGGGCACATGAATCACACCTTCAAAAAGCCTCTTTCTGTATTCATTGACTGTAAGTGCCACTGGTTTAGATGGAGACATCTAACACGCATGGTCATTGACAGCTAGCTTGATTAAAGCAATAATGGTACAGTCTACTCGTACATACGACATACACACGGGAAACAGGTGCAGAATGTACCTGAAGCAGCAAGCCTTGTGCTGTCATGCCATCAAAATAAAGGCTTTTATTAAACGCATACTTGCCTTTCATCAGCAAGTAAGTCACCACTTCACAATGTGTGCTGGGCTTTGTGCCCAGTCCTGGAGAAGATTCTCAGGGATATTAGCAAGAACTGAAGGTGCACAAAGAATCTAGGGGTTTTTTTTATTTTTTTAAAAAGCAATGAAACAAAGCAAATACCATTCTGCTTTTTACTTGAATACCTGTAATATCAGGATTGTGTGCCAGGTAACAAAATCAGTGTAGGCAGAGGATGATTGCTATATTA